GGACAGTCTGACCTAGGATGGTGGCAAAGGACTGGAGAGCAATGAATGGATTTGCAGTGTGTTCAGGGTAACATTGATATGACCTGTTGATAGTTTGGATGTGGGAGATGGTGGTACAAAAGACAGAAGATCAAGTGAATGCTTAGGTTTCTCGTTTGAGCATTTTGTTGGGTGCTAATTATTGAGACTGAGAAGGGCATGAGAGGAACAAGTTGTGACTGAGAATCAAGCATTTAATTTGTACAGTTATAGATGCCTGCATGACATCTAAGAGAGATTATTGAGTAGGCAGGTGGATGCATAGTTTAAAGTTCAGAGAAGAGGACTGGGCTGGAGATGTAAAGTTTAGATTCATCATCTGACAGATACTATTTAAAGCCCAGAGAATGGTGAGATCACCTAGGGAGACATTATAAAGAGATAGCAGAGGAGGGCCCAAGATTCCAGTGGTAAGAAATCAGGTAGGAAAGAAAAAATATCTGAGAAGGGAATCTAGAAGGAAATCTCAGGGAGTATGAGGCTGGAGAGGCCAATGAGAATGAGCATTTCAAGGAGGAGGGAGTGGCCAGCTGTTGGAAGTACTACCCACAGTTGAATTAGATGGGGAGAGAAAAAGATTCTTCGTTCAAGAGCTTGCTGACCTTGGCCTGATATATTTCAGTGGATTTGTGGAATAGCAATTCTTTAGTAACTATAACATTTAGTCAACTAACCATAACATCTTATTCTTCAAACCTATATGAGGTTGAAACTAAGCAAAGAAGATATTCATTCTCTCAGTGGCTGAAGGAAATAGTTGGGAGACCTCAAGATTGAATTCTTACACTCACAGCTATATAGCTTTCTGGTTCTTTGTTCCTGAAACAGGGGTCAAAGCTTCAGTGAACAAATTTTTAGGAGGCCTTGGCACTTCCTCATTGTCCAAATATCAATATTAATGTCAGGTTAAGGAGAGAAATGCAACTAAATTTTTACTAATTATTATTTATAAATATAGAGTGAACAATTATAATAGCAGATGTTCTTTTTTTGAACACATACCGTGTTCAAGGCCCCCTACCGTACTCTTTCCAGGTGTTAAATAATTTGTTGCCAGTATTACTCCTTGTTTTCACAGGAATAAATGAAGGCTGAGTGAAAATACATAGGTATCAGAGCTCAGACACGAAACCATGGTTTTAACTACTATATTATACTATGCTGCTAATTTATCAACTAATAAAACTCACTTTGGTTAAAAATGCAAATGATGAAGGATGTCTCTGAAAGTTAGATCAATATTTGTGAGTTTATTTCTTTGAAATAGAATTAATTGCTTTAGTAGTCACCAACTGGCTTGAAGTAATAGCTAGGAGACGTTTGCAAAGTCATACAAGGATTAGGACTATATCTAGATGAGAGATTTCAAAAAGAAATAAGGCATAAAACCAGCTGTTTGATATTTAGAACCACACATATGGTTTTAATATTAAAATTGCTGCTTCTAGCTGTTCACCCAGAAATACCTAAAATCTTGAATTAATTTTAAAATGCTGATTTTAGGGTGTTTGGTACATGTAGAATACCAAAGATGGTGACTTCAGTTGTCTTCTGAAGTGGGACTATTGATGACATTTAGGCACTGGTATGATGGCTGCTTTTATATTTAACTCTAGAATAAACTTTGAATGGTGGAAAATGTATAATATATTATTTGCATACTTAGAACTCAGAATAGCTATTCTAATAATACTGCATTTGTCAAGTGCACTGAGGGAGCCATGATATTTTTACTTGCAATTCACTTCAATTCTAGTTATTTTACCACAAAATAACTACCATTTTACCAATAACTACCATAACTACCAATTTTACCATAAAAATTAATTTAAGTAATGTTAAATTTTTTCATTTAAAGGATTCTCTTTACTAAATATATTATTGTAATATCTACAAAGGAGTAGTATGCATTCAGAAAGACAAACAGTTTGAGGAGGTAATATGTTAATGTTAAATATGATGTCAGTGGCAGGCTCAGATATGGTGGACATTACATATACCCATTTTACTCTTTAAATAGGAGGAAAATTACTTTTTATGTGTGCAGTAAATACTCCACTAGCAGTGATTATTCAATCCAGTAACAAAATAGTTAAGCATATAGAAAATGTAATGATATTAATTAAGCCAAAATATGTAAAACTATTATTCAGAAGAGAAAATAATAGTAAATAATAAAGTTATATTTTAGCCCTGGCTGGTGTGGCTCGGTGGATTGAGCACCAGCCTGGAACCAAAGGGCTGACAGTTTGGTCCCCGGTCAGGGTACATGCCTGGGTTGTGGACCAGGTCCTCAGTAGGGGGCGCACAAGAGGCAGGCACACATTGATGTTTCTCTCTTTCTCCCTTTCCTTCTGTCTAAAAATAAATAAATAAAATTTTTTAAAAACTTATATTTTAAAATATAAATAATCGTATATGACACCTAACAGACAATAAAAGAAAAAATAGATAATTTAGACTACATAAAAATAAAAAAATGTGCAGCAAAGGACACAATCAACAGAGTGAAAAGGCAACCTATACATGGAGGAAAATATTTGCAAGTCATATGTTTGATAAGGGGGTAATAACCAGAATATATAAAGAACTCCTAGCCCTGGCTGGCGTAGCTCAGTGGATTGAGTGCGGGCTGGGAACCAAAGTGTCCCAGGTTGGATTCCCAGCCAGGGTACATGCCTGGGTTGCAGGCCATAACCCCCAGCAACCTCACATTGATGTTTCTCTCTCTCTCTCTATCCCCCTCTCTTCCCTCTCTAAAAATAAATAAATAAAATCTTAAAAAAAAAAAAGAACTCCTATGACAACTAAAACCAAATTTAAAAATGGGCAAGATTTAAGTAGACATTTCTCCAAAGAAATATGGCTAATAAACAGGTGAAGGTACTCAACATCACTAATCCACAGGGAAATGAAAGTTAAAATCACAATGAAATAACCATCTCACACCCATCAGGAGGGCTGCTATTTTTTAAAAAATGAAAAATATGATGTAGAGAAATTGGAACTGTTTTGCATCATTGCTGGGAATGTAAAATGGTTCAGCTTCTATGGAAAACACTATGGTGGTTCCTCAGAAAATTAAAAATATAATTAAAATATGATCCAGCAATTTCATTTCTGGGTATGATCCAGAAATTTCATTTCAAAAGAATTGAAAACAGGGACTTGAACAGACATTTGTATGGTCATGTTAATAGCAGCATTATTCACAATAGCCAAAAGGTGGAAGCAACCCAAGTATCTATCAAAGGGTGAATGGATAAACAATATATGGTATAAACATACAGTGTAATGTTATTCAGTCTTAAGAAGGAATAAAATTCTGACACATGCTACAACATAGACAAACCTTGAGCACATGATGAAACAAAGTCACAAGAGGACAAATACTGTGTGTGTATAATGTCCAGAAAAGTCCAGCCATTGTTAATATAATGAGAACAGTTTGTGCAACATCAATGTAACCTGGTAGCCAAGGAGAGTGGATTGGAATGCACATACATGAACGATGATGACTTCACTCTACTAGTCAGTGGGGGTGGTAGATGCCATTGAGTGAGCATGTGTGCTGTGTGGCCATCACATTCAAAATGACTGAGTGAGTAGAGCATCAAATGTGCATAAAATTTTGTGTTAAGCTTGAACGTTCCTACATAGAAACTATTTAGATGATTCAGAAGGCAGCAGCTATGGGCCACTGGTGATTGGTAGCTTCATCATGGAATGCACCCACTCATGCATCATGTCTTATACAGAGGTTTTTTTTTTTTGTAAAACATCAAATCACCCAGGTGACTCAGCCCCTCTACAGCCCAAATTTGGCACCTTGTGTCTTTTGGCTTTTCCAAAAACTTAAATCATCTTTGGAAGGGAAGAGATTTCAGACTCTGAGATCCAGGAAAACATGATGGGGTGGCAGATGACGATTGGGAGAGCTGTGTGATGTCCCAAGTTGTCTACTTTGAAGATAACTGAGGCATCATTGTCCTATATACAATGTTTTGTTATATCTTGTATTTTCTTCAATAAATGTCCCTGTTTTTCATATTACATGGCTGGATACTTTCTCCTAGTAAAATACACCTAACAAAGTTAACTATTATATATTTCATTGGCATTAAATACTTTCACATGGTTGTTGCCAGAATTGCCACCATCCATAACTCTTCATTTTGCAAAATTGAAACTCCAACTCCCCATTTCCCCCTTGCCCTGCCCCTGGCAACCACAAATCTATTGTCTGTCTCTACAAATTTGACTATTCTGGGAACCTCTTATAAGTGAAATCATAACATGTATTCATATATATGTGTGTGTATAGATATATGTGTGTGTGTATATACCCACACACACAAATTATTATAATTGGTGTGGCTTTTAAAAATTTTAAAGAAGTGAAAATTTAAGTTATAAGAGACTGTATGGACATTGATAATTAGGAACTAATCTGAAAATACATTCAGAGTTCTTTCATCCATATTAAAGTATACATGTAATTGGATATAATCAATATTCAATTATAGTCAATATAGTCAATAGTCAGCCCTCTGTACATGAAGGTTTTATATCCAGATTCAATCAATTTTGGATTAAAAACATTCAGAAAAAATAATCCCTGAAATTTCCAAAAAGCAAAACTTAAATTTGCCACTTAATGAGCACTATGTTGAATCCACTCAAACCAAGTGATATGTAGGCATACCCTGCTGTAGCCTTTATGCAAATATAGACTATATAAAAATACTATGCCATTTTATATTAGGGACTTGAGCACCAAAAAATTTTAGTATCCTTGTGGGGTCCTGGAATCAATCCCCTGTTGATACCAAGGGGCAATTGTACATAATTATACACAGTGTAAAAATCTATTATGTTCTCTTTGGTGAGGAGGATTTTCTGGGTATATAATGAAAGGAATTATATAATGAGCTCAATTCAAATACTTGATTTTGTTGCAGATCTGCGGTCACTTGTTTGCATGGTTTCAAGGCACAATGAGTCACGCTGGCTCTTGGAAATGCTGGCTCTGGGTGGCGATGCTCCTGCTTCCTGCTTCCACTTCCGTGACAGTCAGGGACAAGCCAGGTATCCAGGCTACCTCTTTTTCTAGTTACCAAATGTTATTTATAGTCTTTAATTTACTTTTTAAAAATATGAAAATAAATCTTGTTGAAGTTGAAGAGGCCATAGATTAATTTTATTAAGACAAAATAAATAATAATTCATTGTTTCCCTCACTGACTTTCCTGTTAAACATTGAGAGTTTCTAAAATCACCTCATTTTTATGCATATGTTATATTAGTCTAAATGTCCTTTCCTTTCTCTCATTGGTATTTATAAATATAAATATATGTGTTCATCTCTGCGTGTGTTTATTTCTCCTTTTCCCCTTTAAGTTGTAAATTATTTAAATTATAAGTACAGAAACCCTTCACCAATTAGGATTAACTGGAGACGTATCTAATATTAATTAGGAAAAAGTGAAAAACAGAATAGAAGGTGTAAAAGGAATGTCATTTAATTATAATCAGTTTCGTGATGCCTCAGATGAGGTGAACAAAATATTTGAACTAAATAGATAATATTTATTTGCAATTGTTAGATTATCAATCTCATAAATATTTCCAAAGGGCTTGAAGGAAATTTGAAATATTTGCTTCCACCTCTACCTTTTATATGTGATTATGTGGCTAATTTGGAACTTTTCTTGAACACCGAGCATATGTAAGTTATTGATCTGATCTAGATGTACCTCATAATTGAAAAGTTGCCTTTTAATTTAAAGCTATGTACATTAAAGAAGCCTTTTAATAATCAAAAAGAAACATCAACTCCCCTATGCAAACAATCCCATATAATGTATTTTGATGACGATTACATGTGGTGATGTATTTTGAATCCAAGTCTCATTGTGTTTGTTCTTTTAAATATATTGCTTAATAATTTTTGCTAAACAGGTACAAATATACTGTAGTAGACTTGTGAGTTTGAAGCAAATATAAAATAAAAATAATCTCTTATAAAGCTGTAATAAATTTTAGTCTCTGGGAATATTATGCAAGTCTTTATGTTTTTTTTTTTACTAATTGACAGGAGGTACATTTTCTAAAATAATTCATATGAAAGTTTGTATATTCTACCACTGTACAAATGACAACGTGTGAGTCTCATATTTTTTGGGGGGGAAACTTTCATCAGTAAGAAAAAATCAGTAGTGACTCATGGGAGAAAGAAGTACATTGAGCAGGAGAGTTTATTCTGATAATGGTGCTGCTCTTCTGTATTTCTTTATGTCTCTTCCTTTTAAAAGATTTACTAGTTAATGCAAACTGTAACTTAATCCGAGGGCAGAGGACTTTTTTGGTTAGAAAGGAAAATGAGTATTAATTAAGAAAGACACAGTTTTTTGGCACGTGCTGGTGCATAATAAATGTTTTTGATGATGGCAATGACTTGAAGTATCTACATAAATGGTTTTCCAATTTTAGAGTGAGCAAGTATCATTGAGGGCATTGATTTGCAAGCCCCACTCTCAGAGACTCCCATCGTGCAGGAAGCCTGCGGTAGAGTCAGTAACTACACCTTTAACAAGCTCCCCAGGAAAATCTAGTGCAGCATGTCTGAGGAAACACTTAGAAACACCCACCTTTGACATAATTGACTTTTTTTCTCATTTGGTTTTTCTGCATCTTATGCTACCAGGTCCCTTTTATTTTGTTATTTTTATTTTTGCCTTTAGTGATTTTTTGTTTTTTGTGGTAAGAACACTTAACGTGTGGTCTACCCTCTAAACAGATTTCTAAGTGTATAACACAGGACTGTTGACTCTAGGCACAGTGTAGTTCAGCAGATCTGTGGAATTGAATCATCTTGCATAACTGCAGCTTCCCCAGCTTGGGATTCCCCTGAATGTTTTGCTTTTGCAGCTTTGGTATCTCAATGCTTCAGTCAGGCTGTATTGTATGTAGAACTACCAAAATGTAGATATGCTGGTCCGTGAATTTACCAAGCTAATCCTTGTGAGTAATTTTAATAAGGGTATGAATTCAAAATTAATCTGAACCCTAACAAGATTCACATAACATAAAGTACTAAAGGAAATTAAAAACAAAATGAAGAGTTGGTTTTTATCATGCCACTTGGTATAAGGTGCTTATGAAGTAAAGCATATTCCACATGCCATGGAAATTACTGAACTTCAGGTATCATTTGCACTCGTTAAAATGTCAGCACAGTACTGTCATAAGATGACCCGCTGGGCATGGACTGACGAGGCCACTCTTCTTGTGTCTTGTGTAGCTGATTCACAGGGCAGGTTCCCGTTTTAGTTTCCTCATGTGCAGACCTGTGCGTGTGGTCACTAACCATTTACCGGAGGGAAGTGATTACATCTAAAAATAAAATATAACCAATCTGAGGGAGAGGTTGGGTTTCAACTCTGGAGTCTGTGAAGTTGTCAACAGTCTACTATTAAACCTAAATATATGAAGGACACATTGAGTCATTTAATTGCTTTGCTTTATGGTATATTTAACAATTACCATACTTGGAATATTGTCCCAGTCGAGACAGAATCCAAGGGTAACAGGGTGAGATTCAATAACAACTTGAATTTTAATGTCAGGAGGCTGTTAAGAATTTATTTAATATTTTTTATCAATTGTACTACTATGTGGGGGTTATGAGATAAGGCATATTTGCATATTTTCATGCTGCAGATGAAGTTCTGTTTGAATGTGGAAGTTTCAACTTAGTTGTCAGAAGAGGGTAGGGAAGAGAATTGTATTAAAAGTTACATAGCATGTAGACTATCTCAAAACTTACCTTGAGTTTCTTCTTACTTTTAGAAGAAAGTTACTTAAAAACTTTCTTCTATGATAAAAACTTATGTATCAAATAATTCGAAGTTCCTCTTTTTTTTAAGACAAAATATAGAATTATCATCAAAAGTAATAAAAACCATAATAAGGAAAAGCAGCAAAAACCCCCATGATTAATAAAAAGAGATATACAGTTCTGTCCAGCATGGCTCAGTTGGTCTGAGCACTGTCCTGTAGCCAAAGGGTTGCGGGGTTGGGCCTGGTCCAGATGCATGTGATCCCGGGTCTGGGAGTATACCAGAGGCAACTGACCAATGTTTCTCTCTGACCCTTCCTCTCTATCTCTAAAATGCAATGAAAAATGTCCTCGGGTGAGGACAAATAAATAAATAAATTTAAAAGACATATGGTAGAATCCATTTAAATCATAATTTTTCTTTTACTTTTGGTAAAAGAAAAAGTTACCAAACTTTTCTAGACACTTCAAGTTAAGTGTCTAGATTGAATTGATTATAAACTTAGGCCCCAAACTATATACCTAAACCCTTTTAAACTAATTTTATATTAATTATAAGAAAAACCATTATTCTGAAATTTGGCTTTTACTAATTAGCAAACATTGCATTCTGACATTCAGAGGAGAAAGTATGCTGTCATATAGGGAACACTGTTTTATGTTTTCAAGAATTCCTCATGTTTAGTATGGTACCGTGAAAGCATGGTGCTACTGACCAATGTACTCTGTGACTTCTAAGTGGTGGAAAGCTTCCCAATTGTTTAATAAAGATATTGTTCCTGTCGCATTGGAGGAATAGCTTTAGATACAAAATAAGTAGTGAAGGTTCTGTGATCTTTTGTGATCGGTTAAAATATTTTTGTCCCCCTCCCCCTCTTTTTTCTTGTTTGGTCACTTTTCCATATTATTTTTGTTATATTTTGGTCCAATGTCCCTATTTTTGTTGACCAACGATTTTCTCCCAACCTAGTGTGCTCTGCAGCCCTTTATGAGACTTAATGTCAGAGTACGAAGTGAACAGGGGCCCTGAGGGCAACTAGCAAAAATAAAATGGAAAGGCCTGCTTCCCCCTCTGTCCGATAGGAATTCGGTTTTAGCCTTTTTTATTTTAAATGCAAATCCCCAAAGAGCTCTTATTTGTCATCCAATTATGAAAGAAAACAAACCACATCTATATCTGTGGTGAATTGCTACTCTTCATCTTCCCATCCTGAGGCAAACAAATGCCGTGCCATGAGTTTTGCCACTAAAGGTAAACAATTTTCCTTAATCCTTTTAATAGTTCCTTAATACTGTTAGGAGAAAAGACTGATAAATAGAGGAGCATCTATAAAACTACACAGATTTTAGTTTCACTGGTAACTAAATTAGCGTAAATAATATACTAATTCCATAGTATATTATTTATATTCCTGAGGATGTGAAGAAATGGGAAAAACAAAACAGGAAGAATGGACACGAGAGGAGAAATGTTGCAATTTCTCTGAAGATAGCACTTCCCTCTTCTCCTCTTAGGTCCCTGTGGCTTTCAGTGTGATTTATATGTTAATCGCTCCCAAATTTTCTTCACAGCCTGGACCTCTCTTCTGATTCCATATGTGTATCTCTAACTGCCTGTTCAATAACTTCATTTGAAATTTTTAATGACACCTCAAACTTAACATTTCTAACTCCCCCTCTGTCTCACCACAGATTAATTTACTCCTAGCTAAATCTGTTCTTCTAGTGGGATTCCATTCAGTAAACTAAACTTTTACCTAACTAAGCAAGCCAATTCTCCCTCTTCCCTACAGTCAATCCATTATAACATCCTATTGATTCTTGTGTCTCAATTCCTTCCCATTTCAATCTTCACTGTCACCTTCTTGATACGTACTCCCATCATTTCTGGCCTCACAGAGTCTGAGCACGCAAGTAAGGTTGCAATATAAAATACAAGACACCCAGTTAAATCTGAAGGTCAGGTGATAATAATTTTTTTTAGCACAAGGATGTTCCAAGTATTGTGTAGGATATACTTACACTAAAAATATTTTTGTTATTTACTTGATCTTTAAATTTAATTAGGTGTCCTGTATTTGTATTTGCTATATCTAGGAATCCTACATGAGGTGAGGGGAGGAGGTTGTTTTACCATATAGAGTGGTCAGGGAAAGCTGCCCTCATGTGTGTGGGACATGGAAGCAGACACATGAAGGCAGTGAGAGAGCAAGGCATGTGAATGCCTGGGAAGCCTCATGCCCCAGGG